TTGTTCTGTTGTTAAAATGGCATTGCATTTGGTGAAGAGTGCATTGTGACTGTTTATGACTTGAAACTCAATGTTTAGGGCTTGCCTGTCTTTACTTGGGACTTGAAACTTTCTTGTGACTTGCAAAACAAAGACTTTGTCCCACCTTCGATCCTTAATTCCTGGAACCAGTTGGTCAAAAATGGCTAAATAACTTTAACAACAGGCAGGGAAAAGAAGTGCACACAGTGTAACAGGAAGCAATGAGGTTTATAGGGAATATTATCAATCATCACACAGTCAAAGTGGAGATGTGAAGATGCAACCATATTATCATCCTTATCTTGTTAGTGCTGTTTACATTCCCCCAGACGCAAATTCAAAAGATTATTGATTATTGATTATATTTAATATACATTTAATTATCTTATTCTTTCTTATCTCTATGTGTGGAGCATGAAGGAACTGCAAACTTTCATTTCATTGTACAACCTTGAGTTGCAAAATACAAAATACATTTCCTTGATCCTTGATAATAGCAGATGCATACTAATATATACAACTATATTCATGTTGGTTAATTCAGTGCTAAAAGTGGGTCAGTTCATTCAGAAGCAGTGCTATCAGTTTTCATATATGAAATTTTTATGACTCCATAGATGCTGGTTTAAGGAGGAGTGCACAAACACTCAGATATGTACAACTGCATGAATGCACCAAAACACACACACACAGTTACACACATGCAGAGTCAGGAGTAAAGATGAGGGCTGGTTGGGGGAGTGAACACTAGGAGTTGTCAGAAGTAGGCCATTAGGTTGGAGCTCAGTGAGAAACTGGGCCACAGGTTCACTTTCATTTGGTAGCACACAGTCAAGCTTCTGCTGCTACTGCAGTAAATGACTGTAGATCACACTGTGTGTACAGGGTGATGTTTGATATATCTCATTATCCTTGTGTTTTGCTCGCTGTGGTTAAACCCTCTCTCCACCCTCTGTTGACTCACATATACAGATGTGAACGCTGGCTGAGTCTATTTCTGTTTGTTCATCTCTTGCAGAAAATCCTTCCCATCACAGCATGCTACCCTTGCATCCTTCGCCGCTGTCTATGTTTCGGTGAGTAACGGTTTGAGCCCACGCGAACACTTAACCCTGCTCACCCTCCCATGAAGAGCCCAATGATACGGTAGAAGTTAACAAAGTGAAACACTAAGTGGTGGAGGATGGAATTAGCCAAGATTAACATTTTTCTTTTCTCTACGCTAGTTTTGCTTCCACTCATCTCTAAAATGTTAACTTTTCAGGAAGAAGGAAAAAAGATGAGGTGGCCTTCTTCATCGGTTGGCTTGCTACATAATTAACTGTAGCACATTGATCAGGACATTGAAAACTCACCTGCAAATGTCAACATCAGACGGATTAAATATTTCAACACTGCTGCTAACAACTGGTTTTTGACATGACAAGAGAGAACATAAACTAGTACCAAAACAAGGATAGGCATGTAAATACCACATTGTGTTAAATTGAAATCTTCTAAGTATCTTTTGAGATATTTATTAGTCAAAACTACATAAATAAGATTAATGTGGTAGTCTCTGCATAAATACTGACTCCCAGTAAATATACTGAGGTGCCTGTGGAATGACTTGACTGACATATTAATCTATCCCAAAAGAAATGATTGGAGATAAATGCCAAATAATTCTGTATTGGAAGGGTGATGGCACACAAAACAGTAATCATAAGGACAATAGAAATAAAAATCAGTAAATGTGTCTTGTGTCCATAGATGTATTTCAACAGCACTCTGACAGACTCATCCAAGCTGCTCAAGCCACTGCTGGTCTTCTCCTTCATTATCTGCGCCATCATTTGTGGTCTGACCCGGATTATTCAGTACAAGAACCATGCCATTGATGTCTACCTGGGCTTCTTGCTTGGAGGTGCTATTGCTGTGTACCTGGTAGGAGCCAGTCCTGTTATCTATCCCTCATCTATAACTGCTCATCCTCTGCAGGGTCATGGGGGGCTGGAGCTGATCCCAGATGACATTGAGCGTGAGGCGAGGAACAGGTCGCCAGTTCATCACAGGAATGACACATAGAGACAAACAACCGTTCACGCTCATAGTCACACATACGGGCAATTTAGATTTACAATTGAACCTAATCTCTATGAAGAAACAAGACTTAAGTCCTTATCGCCAGAGCTTTTAGCTAAAGTGTTCACAATGACAATGCTAACATGCTGAAGTTAGGTAGTGTTCAACATAATAGCTTAGTATGTTGGCATACAACATTTGTTAATTACCACTAAAAACTAAATACAGCTGACACTGATGGGAACGTTATTTGTCTTGGAAGTAATTGGTCATAAACCAAAGTACTGGACAGTTTGAAAATGTTAGCATGATGACCACATTAGTTGAAAAGTCAGGGGATGAACAGTTTAGTATGTAGTATTAATATTCATAAATTACCATGAATGTCACTGATGAATTGTTAGCACCAAATGTCATGGTAATCCAGACAGACTTTTTACCTTGAACCAAAAATGCAAACCTGTTGATGGCACTAGAGTAAAACGGATCACTAAAATCACAAAATTCCTTCTCTGGGGATCTTGAATACCTGTACCAAATTTCACATTAATCCATCAAACTGTTGCTGAGATATTTCAGTCACCAAAGTGGTGGACCAACAAGCCACTTTTGTTGGTCCACCACTTTGTCACCACTTTAGAATTTTTTTTTTAATAAATTTGAATAGTGGAATTGAATCCCCAATGTTGTCTCTTTAAATTATTCTGTAAGGTCAGATTTTTATGTAAATCTGTTTGGAATGGTTCGACAAAGGTATCAGGTAAATTAGGCATCAAGTAAAATGTACAGTATTTAATGTTTCTCTGTTTCCTCTGTTGCCAGGGGTTGTATGCGGTTGGAAATTTTCAGCCAAGTGAAGAGGCCAGTGCTAGCCCCCCTCCAATGCTACATCGCCCTCCCTGCTCCTTGCCCCACATTAGCCAGGAGGCCGTACTCCACCACCTGCAAATGAAAGCCAGCATGGCTGGGGAGCCTGGCATGCCCACATCCCACTCTGAGGGCCTCCTCCACCGAAGTATTCAACAGCAAAGGCCTGATGACAGTATGAAGCGCTCAAGCGCAGACGTTGAAGTGATCTCCCCCCGCAGCCCTCAGAGCAAAGATGCCATGGTGACCTTTAGCCATACCCTTCCTCGGGTCCACACCCCCCAGGCGATGGCAGCGTATGAGGAAGCAGCCAGACGTCACGCTGCCACTCTCCACCATGCCTCCATGGACTCCAGCCGCTCAAAGCAGCTTTTGTCTCAATGGAAAAGTAAGAACAACCACAAATGCTCCCTGCAGGTCCCAGACTCCTTTTCCTCCTCTGTAGACTCGTCATCTGGTCAGTCCTCCCAGCATCCGCACCACCATGGCAGCATGGAGCTCCGATCCAGCTCTGAGCCCTCTGCTATGGGCCTGAATGGAGGCTTTGACAGTCATGCATACATGTCCAAACTGGTCACAGGTGCTAGTACCACCCTGCCCAGTAACTGTAGTGGCATCACAGGAGGGGCCAGGATAGCTATGCAGTCTAGACCTGGGTCTTCACAGCTGGTCCACATACCAGAGGAAGCTCATGAGAATTACAACACTGCCTCCCCAAGAATGGGGGTGGGAGGAGGAAATGAGGGGATGTCACCAATAAATAGCGCAGTTCAGGCTAACTGGCAAAAGGCTGCAGAGAAGACTACAGCCTGCAGGACTAACGATAATGGACAAAACACACAGCCACGAATCATGCAGGTGATTGCTATGTCCAAGCAGCAGGGCCTACTACAGACCCATTCCAAGAGCTTAGATGAGAGCAGCATTGGCTGCAGCACCACTGGGGGTTGCCAGGGCTCTGCTCGCTATAGGACTGACCAAGACCCCACTAGCACCACAGGGCCCAGCTCACTGGGTAGCAACACAGGCAGTATTTCTGGGAGTACCGGAGCAATTGTCAGAATAGAAGCCCACCCTGAAAACAACAGGCCTGTGATTCAAGCCCCAGCCACAGATGGGAGCGGATCATGGAGGTGGCGGTCCCTGGATCATGGCACTGGAGCTGGTGGAGGTGCAGGGACAAGTGGAGCAGGAGGAGGATCAGGAGCAGGAGGCGGGAGTTTGAGGCAGTCCTTCGAGCTCAACGATCTAAACAGAGACTCAGAAAGCTCAGACTCGATACGTGAAGGGTCCATTGACAGGAAACGTGCCAATCACATCGTTACCACCACTGCCACCGTTAGCACCCAACCCATAGTTACTGTTCACACCCAGAACACTGGCCAGTCAGAGCAGAGGCTCCACCCCCAGGGCCTCTCTACCATAAGGGTCACTCCGGGGGATGGTAGTGGTTCTGGATCTGGAGGAGGAGGTGGGGAGACCGCTTCAGAAACCCCATCAGTCACCTCTAGTCGCGAGTCCACGCTGCGGAGAAAAGGCCAAAATATCATCCTGATTCCAGAGAGAGCTAACAGTCCTGATAACGCCCGGAACATTTTCTACAAGGGAACATCGATAACTTCTGTTTTCAAGGAGTAACGTATTAAATTACCAGAGACTTCAGAAGACGTAGTAGCTAATATAGCTGGATTTTGAAAAAGCCCCGTATCTGTGACAACTGTCAGTATTACCTGTCATTGTACATATCATAATAACTTCAAAAGAAAAGGTTTTATTCAGCATGAGGTTTTTGTACGTGTTTACACTAAATCACAACCTTTTAAGTGTTGTAGAAATAATCACTGTGTACTTTTGTGGTCACTCCTAAGGAAACCTATTGTAATGTTGATGCTGTGCAAGTGCTTTGGGGACAGGAAAACCTTTTTTTAAACAGTTCCGTTTGTTTTGGATATAAATCATCACAAAAAAGAAAAAATCAAGTTGCACAGTAATAGCAAGTAGCAAAATAATTGTATCATAGCTGTAAAACCAGTGTTTACTTCCCTACACTGTAAATACTGTGTATGTTTGAAAAGGGTGCTACACCAGAAAATACTATTTACTATACAACATACTGTATAATTTGAATAGATAAAGAATTAATTATTTTACAAAGAGTGAACAACAATGACATTAACATGTGACAGAGATATGTTTTGTATTTTGTCTCTTACTGTACAGATACCACATACTCAACAGAATACTGTTTTGAACCATAAGTGTGCTTAGCATTCCTTCTGTAGCTATGAAGTCAAATATGCTGTGACTTGCACTGAAATATGCGTTTACCGTACCTTGTATGCTGTAAACCTGACCTTATCTTTATATCCTGTACTTACATTTTGATGTCCATGTCAATCCCATATCTACAGCACAAAAAAGCAGTGGAATGTTATGCTTTGTTATACCATAAGATAATAAGTACATTTCCAAAGGTCAATACAATACTTGACCTCAAGCTTCCCAAATTAATTTGACAAGTTTCATTTTGCTTGAAAGCTGTCTTTGTGGCTATCAAATGAACATTTTGAGAAATATACTTACTGCTGTCCAATCCACAGCCAAATGCTGTACCAGAGTTCCAACTGGCATAGTTATTCTGGGGTTCCAGTATAAAAACCATGTCTGTGCATTTTATTTTTTATGATTAGGTGGCAGTTGGAACACTTACAAGGCTTTGATGGGCATGGAATTTTCCTGGTAAAATCACAAAAAAAGAATTAGTACAACAAGCCAAGATAAAAATTATTTATCATACACTTATAGCATTGTAGCACAGTATCCCGGAGCCTCCTGTGTCACTCTGTTGAGAAACACTGAGGATATTAGTAAAAAAACATTTAGAAACACCACTTTGCAACTCTATACCAGTTTTATCTCAAATCACAAAGATAATTGGTCTGGGATGTTTTAGCCTAGCTTAGCACAAATATCTAGTTATCTGCCCAGGAGTTGTTGTTCGAAATATAAAAATAGTTCCAAGTTACCACAAGTACCACCATATTTAATTTTCTGTTTTAATATATGAAAATAAATAGAAATAAGACTCCGATAGCAAACAAACATATTTCCCAAAATGTTGTGTTTCTTAAAAGTTCTTCTTTAATCCTCTTTTTCTTCGAAAAATAACTTTAGGCATAAGTTCTTTATCAGCACTTTTTAAAGCACTGTGCTCACCATAGTAGCAAAAATCAAATTGATTTTTTGTAGCATACATTTACAGGTGCTACATGTAGCATTTTTTTTAAGGAATCTACAATATTGCTGTTAAATTAATACCTCAGTATAATTCTCATTGTCAAATTAAAACTTTTTGGCATCTTTGGTTTTGCTGAACAGAAGCACCATATACAAGGTGATCCCTCCATCATCTTCCATATGCAGTGGAAGAATGTCCTTTTGTGCCATAAACCAACCAGCTGATTTTCTACCAAACCCAACCCAGTGTAGCAAATGCTATGTAGAGGCTAGTAGAGGCTGCCAGTTTTACACAGTATGTACAGGATAGTGACTGCTTCAGTTGAGGAATTACAAAATCTGTTGTTTACAGTCGTTTACATTATGGTGCATATCATTAATAAGTATTTCAGTGGTTCTATAAGCACCCACTGTATATAAAGAATACATTTGATACAAACACTTCACTATTGGCACCAATTGTCCTATGAAAATATTTTGCCACAGTGATTATGTGAGAACGTTTGCCAAAGCTAGAATTAAAAAAAAAGAATCATCAGATGTAATTTTCAGTATTTGTATAGCAAAGCCTGCATTATATTGTACATGATTTATTCTATACCACAGCAACATTTGCATGGTCAGTTATAAATAGTGCATATCACAGGATTTTTTATCATAAATGTGCTTTTATTTTAAATTTACAGAAGAGTTTAACAGTATGTTCATTATTTCAGTGTTTCATAATGAGAGTTATATGACAATCTTTTTTTAACTAAGTACTGTTGCCCTTTCAGCTCATTACTACAGGCTGGTTTTCTGTTTCTGTTTTTGTTTGCCTAAATGAACCTGCCACTCATTTCTCATTTGAAAATGTGTACATAATTTACCAAACATGTAAAAAAAATAATAGAGGTTTTGATTCAAGCTGAATCGAACTCTGAGAAAGAAAATATTTATTTTTGAAGTAATCCAAATGGTATTGAATATTTTAAATACAGTCTTTTGTGTTATTTAAACTGCACCCATAATTTCTGACTGCTCTCAAAATGTCAAAACATGAAAAATGAGACAACATTGGATTTTGTTCCTGTCCAATCCATTGAAGATTCAATTTTAGCATGAGTGACTTGATTTCACCCATGCAAGCCAATAGTTCTTCACTGTCATACTAAGGTTGATTTTATGCTCTGCTATCTAATAAAACCTCACATTTAGACTTAGAATATTGTTTGATGCAAGCCTTAGAATTCAATTGTTTTCTATTTAAATTTAAACTTGCAAAGCACTATACAGCCATAATCATACATGTATAAGTACAACATAGCTTAGTAAGAGTTAGAGTTTCTTTACGAGTAACAGCCTCTCCCAGATAAGCTTTTCTAATGCAATGCTACAAGGATAACAATGAAGACAATTCAGTTATACTTTAAAGAATTTTTATTTTGACTATTCTATATGAAAAGACCAACTGACAATGTGTTGGGCCCTCTCTCATTCTCTACTCTCTCCGTGGCCGCCCAAATGAAAATATTTGAACTCAAAAACATTATTGTAACACATTAGTAAAGGACTGAATAGAAATATTTAAAGGTGACATCAGAAATCAATACATTGCTTTATTTCTAAATCCTCAGACATTTTTCCAAAATGTCTTTTTTCACTGGACTTCATCAGTCTTATTCTAAAATATGGCCAAAAACACAGATAATTACATTTATTTCAATTTTTTAACACTTTACTTACTGTGGGAAGTAACCTTTATGAAAATAACTTATATATGTTTTAACATATGACATATGAGTAATTTTTTATAAAAAATAATCTAAAATTATGTGTTAAATTTGACCGCATTTAACACCAAACTGGGGTGGCCAGGCATTGTTTAGGGGTAGCAACTGCCACTCCATGCCACTCCTCTAGAGCTGCCCCTGAGGCACTCATTTGCAAAATTTTGTATAGGACTGAATTACAGATGAAAACACTGAAGATTTCTTATGACTTGTAATATACAGCTGCCCCCTGGGCAACACGGAAACAGCGGTCATTTATTCAAGAATGTCAAGAATGGCTTTACATTACACATATGAAAGAAAACTGCCATTTTACCCAATACATACAGTACATGACATATCTGAAACTAGCCTGTATGACATCACATGATCATGGCCAACTTTACAAAGTTGAACTTCAATGATGTGAGTGTGCAAAATACAAGTTACATTCTTTAGATCAAAGCCTTAACATTGTCCATACTCCTTTTAGGATGGCACATAGAAAGAACAGAGTCCCCCCTGACCCAAAGAAACACATTTAATATACTGATTGAATATAAAGAAAAAAGATACCATGTGGCTATTTCTATGGCATTGTTTCAAATGATTTGTCTGAGTTTGGAGTCTGTCCCAAAGGCCTGTGAAATCAAAGAGTGTAATGTGACACATGAGTAGAAATGTAGATCCAATGGGTAGAACTGTGAATGGATGCATGTGTAGCCTCTTGTGTTGTCCCTTGATGAATAATTCATGTTTTCTGATACTGTGATACAGCTGTATGAATTCTATGCAGCAAGAAAAAAAGTTGAGTTCAAAAACAAAAAAAAGCTCAATAGTTACGTTTTTGTGTAACTGTCAAAATAGCAAAGTACTGATTGCTTAAAGACAGTTGAACCTATAGCAGTCATTTTGAGTTTTCAGAGCACGCTGATCAGGGTAGATAACAAATTGTGCATTGTCTAAATGATTGGAATAAATGTTTGCTATTGAAACCAATCAATGCATGTCCTCTCATCCATGTTGTTAGTCCAGAGCATTTTACTTGAGTAGCCTGGCTGATTATTACAATAGGAAAGCTACAATCTGGGTCACCAAATCTTGAACACTCCAAAAACTAAACTCAATTGAAGAAAAAAAATTGAAAGGTAAACAACTGACTTGATTAAAAATGGTAATTTTTCAGGAAACCCTTTTATAAATATGAGTATGGAGGATTTAAAATGTCAAAATTTCTATAATTTTTTTGTACTGTTTTCACCCCTGTATGCACCTCTGACCAAATGAATTTCCTCTTTTGGATCAAAATGTTTTTTGATTTGATTTAAATAAAACAAATCAAACAAAGAAATAAAGTGAATACAATAAACACTGTTATATGTATTTCCTCTTATGTGTTATAATTATATGATAAATATGTTATAAAGACTATCATTTAGCTTTTTGGTGATGCAGAGGTGTATTGCATTTCAGAGGTATCCAGAGCTGTGGCTGTTCACGTTGATACCCAGCACCCTCCACTCCTACCAGTCTATACACCACAGACTGCTGCTATAGAGTGCTAAAGAGTGGACGATAAAGAGGAAGGCTAATATCGAGATAAAAACTGTCAAAACGCCCCATGTACCAAGGCTGAGCCCTTGCTGTAGTGGCCATGGGTTCAAATCCAACCTGTGGCCCTATGTAGAAGAT